TAGCTCGACTGTTTTCTGTTTAGAAGATGCAATAAATTTGCTCTAGAGCCTAATGGGGTGATCAGATCTGCATTGCTGCTGCTACAACATTACATAGGACTAGTCTAGATCCAGCGTGTAAAGTTTTGGACGTCACATCGGATGTTACATGAAGGGGTCGTATGGGGTGTTCAGATATTAATAAAAAAATAAATTACAGAATTCGCCAGTAAACCGTGAGACGAATTTATTAAGCCTAATTAATCCGTCATTAGCACATGTGCACTGTAGCACTTTATTGTCAAATTATGGGCTAATTAGGCTTAAAAGATTCGTCTCGCAGATTAATCGCAAACTGTGCAATTAGTTATTTTTTTAGTCTATATTTAATACTGCATACATTCGACGAGACGTGATGTAAAGTTTTAGGTGGACTGTAGCATGCCTGCCTGTACGGCAGTGCCCGGGCTGCCATTTCGAAGGACACGACACGACACAACACAACACAACACATGTGAAGAGTTACTGAAACATTGTACTGGGAACGGCTTGCGTGTGCTGCGAGAAAATGGCAAAGATGCAGGAGTACTCGGCCTGCAGATCACCGGATTCGCTATGCTTGCCGTGGTGCTGTGTCCGGCCAGCTGCTGTCAGTGTACTCTTGGCACATGGGTTGCTCATGAACCACGGAGGCATCCAGTCAGTCACTGCCTCGCTCCTCTTCTCGATCTCTCTCCTCCTTGGGGCTGCTCGATCTGATGAAAATGGCTGGAATCGGAATCACACAGTGTCATCCAACAATACTCTGGTTGAATTGAAGACATTTGGTCCCATGGCTCTGGCTCCGGTTGGAAGAGAGAGCAGTGTGGCGGGTTTGTGCAAGCTTCCAATGTACCTCCATCTAAAAAAAAGGAGGGTAATTCTAAGTCTAGATTGAATCAAACTTCCTTAACTTTGATAGAGCTAATAAAGTTAATATAAAATACTATTGATATTTAAGAAAACAAATTAATACACTATAAATATATATATATTATAGTTAATCTAACAACACTTGTTCAATATAAAAATTGTTAGTATTTTTTTATACATTTGGTTAAACATAAAGAATGGCTAACTTCTTTAGAAGCGAGAAGTATATCTTTTTTAGACGTAGAAAGTATATATATCAAAAGAGGTTTGTTACAGTGCTCGGAGAAACCCGTGGTTCCTCTCCGTGGATTTTTTTTCGGTCACCTAAAATACTATAAGTTTGCCCCTGGGCCAATTAACGTGGGAATACTCTTAACCTAGGCTATGCTTCTAGGAGCCTGGCCGCTTGGCATGATGCATGGCCGCTGGGCACCTGGCCGCATGGCCCCTGCTTTTCGGACCGCCGGAGCAATAGCAGAGACCTAGCACTAGATCGGGATCTCATGGCCCATGAGGCATCGCATCGACCTTGCCTGGCTGAGGTGGAGTGGATGAAGCTGCTTGAGACATGAGACGCGAAATGTGAAAGTATTAGTTTATCCTTTAAATTTAATCTAAAACTAGTTCATAGCCTATATAATTTTGGTTTCGGCCCACAACTTAAGTTCCTCTACATCGGTTGTTCTTGTTTTATAACCATTAGGTCTACTCAAATGGATGGCTCTAATTTCTTCAAGCACTGTAAAATTCCTCATATAAAAAATAGGAACCCCTGCATCGAGACAGGCAGCCCATTAGGTCAAGATTTATACGTAGTTTTCTTATGTCTCAACAAGTACAACTCGTACACATATGCACGCACATTGTGTTCAAGCTAGATCTATACATATAACTAAAGACACGCATGGGGCTTAGAGGTATTATTTGAAGATCATCGGACTCAAAGCGTAACAGACACGGTACCTTTAACCATTGTAGAACATCTGCACTTGAGACATGCTCGAAGCCTCGAACACAGATGACGGGTGCTCCATCGAGCAAACCAGACCACTCAAATGGACTCATTCTCATTTCTTCTGAGATATTGTAAAATTTTAGATGCTAAAAGCAATAGGATCTTCCTTCTTCCATTCCCCGTGCATCTCTCTCTCTCTGCACAGGCGACTTGTGGGCTTGTGAGTGCCTGAGGGGCAGGCACCTCACTGTAGAATGTGACCAATCTCTCGTCTCTTGCGAGAGACAATGTGACCGATCCCTCTGTATCTGTGGCCCTTGCTGTACATCATGGCACCCAACAACATTTGGGTCTAGCACTCTAGGTTTGGTGGCTAGAAGTACGTACGGTTAAAGTATTACATTTGACTGAAATCCTCTGTCATATTTTGTTGATTTTCTGCTGGTTGCATTTCATTGCGATTGACTCTAGGAAATGCCTGTCTTTGTGGGCCAAAAGAACAGCACGTGCTACTATACATTTGGTGTGTTCATTTCATTCACAAGCCTCGTGGGCCTTAAGGCAAAGGACTAGTGGCGTAGGCGCATAGCTAGGATTTTAAATTAGGATGGTCAACTTAAGATATATATATATATATATATATATATATATATATATATATATATATATATTGGAGAGTATATTCAGTAGCCAGCTACAAAATAAATTATTCTATAGCCACCTCCATTTACGATAATTTTATATACTAATTTACGATAATGTCAATACATATTTACGATAGTTGGGTTACTATAACATATGGGGATATTTACCATAACGTTATAGTAAACGACTTAGTAAAGAGTTACTATAATCCCGTAAATTAATATAGTAATTATCGTAACTCAAAGTGACTACATAATAAGTTATTTTGTAGCCAACTACAGGGTAGTAGTTCTATATATCATGGCTTTCACACTAATATAATGGTTATTTCAACACCATGTCCTGGTTGATTGAACAAGACGACCATTTTTCTTTCCTTTTTTTAAGAAGAAGAATAACATGACGATCTCTTGTGATCAACTAGTCAAGTGTACATGGCTCTAGTAATCTGACTGGTACTTTTGTAAATGAAGCAGGCCCGAACAGATAGGAACGATGTTGACATAGTGACGAAAGCTGGAACGATGACAGTGAATGAATGGTAACCTTGGGTGATGGTCTGATGGAGCTGGACATGCCCTGCATCTGCATACTGAACAAATATAGATAATTATTAAAATATAAAATCATCTGTTAATATAAATGTTGAGATGGCCGAGTTGGTCTAAGGCGCCAGATTAAGGTTCTGGTCCGAAAGGGCGTGGGTTCAAATCCCACTCTCAACATTAATTTTTACTATTGATATTTTCCTTTTTCCTTTTTTTTACTCTTGTTCTTTGTATTCTTTCTTGTATTGCTCAAATCCCACTCTCAGCATTATTATTTTCCTTTTTTACTATTTTCTTGTATTGCTCAAATCCCACTCTCAACATTATTTTTTGATCTAAGCTACTCATGTTCTGTATTGTTTGTACAAAAATGTCTTTACTCTTGTTCTTGTATTGCTCAAATCCCAACATTATTTTTTGTTCTAAGCTACTCATGTTCTTGTACTGTTTGTACAAAAATGTTGAGGCTTATAGATTTCAGCCACAAGATCAAATATATTCAGACCGCGTCGACGTTCCCTTGTGAATCATATCAAGTGGGTCAAATCGCCAGGTTGTAACAAAGTCAACAGAAAGCATATTATTTTTTTTTACCGAAGCGAATATATACATACATTGTGACATGTTACTTTTTTATGTTTTACATTATATCACTTGTCAATAAACACTTGTTTCAGCGGTTTCATTCAATACTTTTTCTTTAAAACAAGTGATTGTTTTTTACTACTCCCTTGGGTATTTGTGCTGGTCAAAAACTTCCTTAAATTTGACTAGGTTTGTAGAAAATATTAGCCATATTTATATCTCTAAATAATTTTATTATGAAAATAAATTCAATAATCTATCTAATGATACTAATTACGTACTATGAATTAGGGAATATTTCCTTGTATATATTTAGTCAAGGTTGAGTACGTTTTAATTCTCGAAAGTGAGAATGACAATCAAAAGAATGGTGAGACATATTACCACAAAGGTATAGCAGAACAACCAGGAGGAGGTGGGCATAGTGGAGTTGGATAGGATCCAAGATAAATGAAAGTTTGTTCTACGATAAATCTAATGACAAATCTTGAGATAGTTGCTACAATAGTAATTCTTTGGACATAATTTTACTAAGAATTTAAGATAGTTCAGGATCAAGCATGATCCCAATTCGAACACCGTGCTAGTGCTGGTATTATTAGCATGCATTGTGAGTTGTGAAATCTAACTGCGTGATAGTAGCAGAAGGCATGTGAAATTGCACTCTAGCAGTAACAACCCACTATTGCATGCAAGCCCAATAGATACATATAGGCCCTATTAACTACGAGCCGGCGAAACCAATATTTCTAGCTTTTAAGGGATATTTTGTATTGTAGTGTACAATAAGCTATTTTTCTAGCTCATTTCTTCTCAAAAAAAGACTCCTGCTTTTGGGAAAATTCCACACTGTACTTTTTCGAACCAGGGATCTCCCCATTTCCATTGCCATGAACGGAGATACAAGAGTTTAAAAGACAAGTTCAGGAAAGCAGAGAAACTTCAGAGTGCTACCATACAAGGAAAATTCCACACTGTACAATGAACTGTTTTTAACTTTACCGGCTCCAGCTCTTCTAGAGGAATCAGAGCAGTAAGAAGCCCTGTCAGATAGGCCCATAGTAGTATCATGGGGCCGATTAAAGTATGAGGTGATAATGTGAGATCAATCAATCATAAGAAACCATATCATTGCACTAGACCAAGCATGGTCCATGGAGAAGGAACTCTACGCTGTATGTTCACCTACAACATGTATGGCCAAGCATCATTCAGATTCAGCTCTGCCTCCCATGTACATACATACACACACAAAACATCTAGTCCTCTCTTGTCCTCTATGAAAACTCGCTCATATGTACACCACAATAACACAACTGAGTAGCAAACATGTGGCAATGTGTGATCCTATTCCATGAAGCAGCTCAAGCTGGGCTCTACAGTTTCTCCTTGACAAATGCAAAGGTGACCATCCAAACGAGGCACAGGACGACCCAGCCGCCGCAGGACAGCGGCGCCGACCCGGCGGTGAGCCCCGTCGGGTTGTCGTAGCCGCCGTACATGGAGTTGCCCCCGGGGTTGTTGGCGTTCAGCACCGTGGAACCGGAGCCACCTCCCATGGTGCCCGACATCCCTCCCGCTGGGTTGTAACCGGTGCCCGACATCCCGCCGCCGCCCGTCGTCCCCGGGCTGTAACCGGCGCCGAAACTGCACGGGTTGCGACATGCATGGATGCAGTCAGAACAGATTCATGGCACACTGCATCTATGGCATATGGGTGATGGCAAGATGAATTTTTGAGCTGGACGGATCACCCTTACCCTGCTGATGTCTGGTACATGCAAGTTCCTGAGCCTGCAAAGATTGGTTGGCAAAAGCGAATGCGAGTGTTCTGTTAGATGTGCAACAGTGCAGCAAGCAGTTGGTAGCAGATTTGTGTGTTCCCGGTGGCTTACTTGGGTTGACGTTGACGAGCATGCCGGCGCCACCGAAGTCGCAGCTTGCCGCCGACGGGTTGCGCTGGAAGTAGCTGTTGAAGGCGTATGAGGCGTGCGCCTGCAGCGTGTTAGGGTTGTAGCAGGTGCCCATGGGCTGGATGGGCGAGCAGTCGGCGCCGCCGATGCCGCACGCATAGTCGATCGCGTCCTGGAGGGTGGTGTCCATGATCCCCGACTTGGCGACGCACCACGCCTGCCCGGCCACGGTGGGCGCGCCCGGCTGCACCGTGCCGGTGCCGGGCATTGTCGTCGCCGGAGGCTGGTACACCGGCTGCGTTGCCGGCATGCCGCCGCCCTGCTGCGGGTACGGGTACGTGGTCACTGGGTTGGTGACCGGCGACGTTCCCGGGTACTGCGACGGCGTCGTAGCCGGGTTCGTCACGGCGGGGGCTGCCGGGTTCGTCACCGTCCCCGGCATGGTGGTCGGCGCGGCGACCGGGTTCGTGAAGGGGGATGGCACGGTCACCGGCGGCATTGTCGGCGTCGTCGGGTCAGGCATGGGCATGGTGACCGGCGTCGTCGGCTCCGGGTACAGTGGCGGCAGGTTCGGGTTGGTCGCGAACCCGTTGCCCGGGTTGGTCGACGGCACGGTGACGAATCCCGGGGCCATCGGGTTGGCCACGGGGTTCGTGGCCGGCACGGTCACTGGGTTGCTCACGGGCGTCGTCGCCGGGTTGCTGACCGGTGAGAACTCGTCGTGTGCCGTCGCTCTTGCCTCGCCGAGCTCCCGCCGAGGGGAGGACGCGTCCACCAGAACACCCAACAACCTCTTCTCCCGGCCGGTATCGCCACGCAGCTTGGCCATTGCCACCGCGCTTGGAGCCGCACGGCTCTTGACGTGGATCACGAAGAGGCCGGCGCCCAACAGAGCGGCAACTTCAGCGACGGCCTCTTCGATCTCCGCGTCCACGGCAAGCTCACTGTCTGCTTCCACCTCTGTCTCCACCTGAACAAGAACAGACGAACCTGTCCTCCTGACGAACTCTACGACCTTGCCCCACCGCTTCTTTCTGGCACGAGCACGATCCTTGGCGACGATCCGCAGAGAAGACAGCGAGAGCTCCGGCGAGACCTTAACGCTCTCCGCCAATCCGGCGGCGGCGAGAGAAGCGTGAATCGACTGCAAAGTGCGGCGCAGTGCGCCGAGCTGCGTGTCGGTGGCCGTGACGATGATGTTGCTGACGTTGAGACGCCGGTTGGGACCAAGAACTTCGTTAACAAATGAGCCGGCGGCGGCGAGAGGCTCCGATCTGCATGGCTTCTCTCTGCACACAAACGGCTTCAAGAAGAGGTAGGCACGCTGCTTGTCAGTGACCATGACTCTGTACTCAGTGACGACTGAGCTGGATAGTGTCTTGACCTGTGTCGAATCATATGATAGCTCCACAAATACTCCTGAAATTAAAGAAAAACAAGACATACTTTGTTTCAGGAAGGTAGAAAAAAATCATCAAGTATATATGCCAACTGCATCAATGGAACAGCATTTTGCTAATCAGTAGCTGCCTAAGTGTGGACAGGTTGATAAAAACTTTATGATAAAGGAAAGATATTTCAGAAACTAAAAATGATACTGACCTGAACAGCAGATTGTTTGAAGGAGGATACAGCAGAAGAAGAATGTGAGAGCAAGAGGGCAGGCAGGTGCCATTGAAGAAGAGAGAGAGATCTTTACAAGCAAGGATGTGGCTGAGCTGAGCAGCCTCTGGCGAGGGGAATGAGCTGGAGATGGCCAAACAAATGGCAGTGGGGAAGGAAGGGGTAGGAGAAAGGGGCTATGCAAATTTAAGTACAAGGGGAGCAAAGCTTGTGTGTCCCTGTGTGACACAAAGTGGAAAGCATAAGCAATAGGGGCAAAGCGGCAAAGTGGATAACAATTGTATTAGATATATGCAATGCATGCTCCTTTTTTTAACTTTAGAACAGGGGAGACAGCAAGGAGCGCAGTGCATACATTGCATCCTTTTCCATGCAGAAAAAAATGTCCGGAGACGGAGCACTGCACCAAACTAGGTGCAATTCTTTTTTCCTGTGTGTGTTCACCACACTGGGAGTTTCTTTTGGTTCAGTTGTAGCATCACTCTGACTCTCTGACAGGGTTTCTCTCTGCAAAATAGAGGTGCCAAGGTTATTTGCATTACATTTTTACTGCCCTGCAGTCTGCACTGATGAAAATAAAATACAGTGACATCCTGTTCTGATTTCTCATGAGAAATGGTTCTGACTTTTGAAGGCTCAGATGCCATTTTGCTTTCCAATTTAGAAGAAAAAGCATGTGCATACAAGTATGAATCAACTGCCTTCATCTGTGGACATTTTCTTTTCTTTTCGTGCACAAAAAGCTTAGGTTCTCATTGGTAAAGCTGCTTTCTCTGATGACTATTACATATGACCTTCTCCATGTATTAGCACCTTGTGCTCAACGATTGAATACTTCCCTGACTTAATATTATAGACTCTCTTTTTCATCGCTGCGAAAAAAAAAACTAATCTAGCGTTCATCCCCTCGTGGCCAAGACTTGCTGCAAAACAAGACATGATCACACTGTCACACAAGTAGTCAGCCTGTTCGCTTGGTCGTATTTGGCTTATAAGCCATGACTTATCAGCCAACGAACAATATTTTTCTCTCACACCAAACCAGCCAACAGTACTTTCAGCCATGGCTTATAAGTCAAACCAGCCCAAACGAACAGGGCGAGTCTTATTCTCTGACAGAATTTTTGCACAGTGTTTAGACTTGCCTTTTAAGAAAACAACTGTACCATGACCATGAGCACAGCTGGGACTGGGACATTGAGCAAGCTTTTGGACCAACTGGGCCACTGGGGCAGTGGGCACGGCAGGAAGCATGAGCCTCCGAAACCAAAAAGGTTGCCCTTGGTAGGCGGTAGCTCATGCCATGTGCGTTTCAAAGATCCTTGTCGGGCTCTGGAAGGATGGAGCCATTTCTTCGTTGGGCCAATCTGCCTTCACAGGCATTCTCCATTCAGTAGCTACAGTGACAGGACCATGCTGACAATGGGCCAATCTGCCTTGATGAATACTCGCTCAGTCCCTACATGTCTGTCGTTTTCGCTTCCCGAGAAACAACTTTAACTAAATATATATTAAAAAATATTAATATTTATGATACATAATTAGTATCATTGGATATATATTTGAATCTAGTTTTTTAATAAATTTATTTAGAAATAGAAATGTTGTACGTATTTTTTATAAATCGAGTCAAAGTTATCAGCACGCAAATCGTGACGACTAACATTTAGGGACGGAGGGAGTAGTCTCCAGTGAGATAATGGGAATCTTCATATGTCATTAGAGGAATATATCCAGGAATTTTTCTTGTTTTCTGTATTTTTTCTGTAATAATGCACTGAATTTCTGGGAAATTCTCGACCAATTCCTACTAAATTCCTGTGTTAAAACTTATAAGCTAAAACTTACAAGAGGGGCTTTAAGGTCAGCAAGTGTTGCTTGCTCCATTCCAAGGTAGCTAGAGTTAGCTTACGCACGCTGGTATCTCCATCTGAAGTGTTGAACATACATGTAACTACTAGTCTTTATCATGTTTCAAAAAGAAATTACAGATCTTTAGCAGAGTGGAGAAAAATCTCGGTAAAAAAAAAGGTTATACATGATTGGCTTAACGCATCAATTTGAGGAGGAAAACGGGCCAGATTGCAGGGGCTGGCTTGGCTTGGCTTTTGCTTTGCCTGCACCATCATTGGACAGGAGGAACGACCGGGAAAGGCAGGTTTTCGTAAGGTTTTCACAGGCTGCTGGTGCCTGGAATGTATGCCTCATATTCATTCGTAGCTTCTTTTTCACGGAGTTGCCTGTGCCATCTCATACATCACTACTCTTGACTTGAGCTTTCTTCTTGGTCTTCTTTTCCTACTCCTAATAAAGCTGGGATAAGAGGCAGTAGATAGAGATGGGCATCCCCTCGTTTAGCCGCAAGTAGCAATGCAATGTCAAGGGTCAAGAGTAAAGAATGACATCCAAAGTCCAATGGCCACACCAGAGGACAGCACTTAGCATTCCATACATCCATGGTCACAAATCACAAATCATAATCGAGGACTGCTTTGCTTTTGTAACGGTTTAAAGGCGGTCATCATTCCTTTTTATTTGTCATCATCGACCAATAAACGTGTTCATGGTTCAACAGTACATCCATGATAGAACAAAACAAATCGGAAAAAATATTGACTAAAAAATAAGCTAATGAGAGTGATATATTTGCGCGTGCACTTCAAAGGAATCGAATCATTTGATGACCAGTGTAGGCTTTCTCAGCAAAATACTCCGTATATACGTACTATGCTGGAGAAAAGCCGTGCGGTTTGCGTAGATATATGCTTTTTGGCAAGGTAAACCATGGCGCTTCAAGCGGCTTTTTGTGGAGCAGGAGCACTAGGAGTGTGATGACAATATAATATACACGCATCATCAAGTTTTTTTAATCAGACTAAAGCTGGATTGGAATTGGAGCCATCGTAATTAAATCGATCGTGGGCATCTGCTTTATACATAGGCAACATATCATGTAACTGCGCTTAGAAAGCTACCGTCATAAAATCGGGACCACTCTAAATCGATCTTGATCGATGGATGGGGTGAGGGCTTAAAAAAAAAAACGGCGGGTGGGGTCTTAAGCGCAAAAAATCCACCTCTCATCTCATTCATTGGATCACGATCTAAAATTTCGATAGATCCCGATGTTTGGTTTAAACACTTTTTTTAAGTGAACGTGTTTTAGGCATAATTTTTTTACTCGATTAACGATACGTTGCCTTATATATATATATATGTATATGCATCTTGTCGCCCTTGTATACAATAGGATACGTGCACGTGCGTACGTAAAAAGGAACTGCCGCTTCGGCTTTATTGTTATTATTACGAGTATTAGTATACTTACAAATGGTAGTACTACTGTAAGCATGCAGCTTGTAACAACAACTCTTTGATTAGGAAATTAATTAAGTATAGGCGAGGCAATGCAGATCAAGTAAGCGATGATGGCATGCAAATTTGATGCGACGTACATACGTGGTTATCATAGATAATTCATGAGTATATACTATATTATATTATTATACTCTAAAATAACACTTTAGTAGTAGGACGTAAAGCAAAGATTTGGTGTGGTGTACATTAGTAGGTGTGTTGTAGCCGCCGGGACCGGCCTGGAGCACCCACGCCCACCCAGCTGTTATTGACTGACCTGACGGTGGTGTGCTCTCGCAGCCATGCATCGTCAGCAAGCAAATAAAGCTTAGCATGGATGCGATGGATGGATCGGCTTGCTTAGTTCCTTAGCAGCTAAGGCCGAGTGTGTGTTTGGCGGGTCATGCCCATGCGTCGATGGGCTTAAACAAACGCATCAAAAGAAGCCGACGGCATGCCATTATTTTTTTAATTGAAAAAAAAGGCGGCAACGGCACACGTCGGTCCGACTCGGACGGATCGGATCGGATGGCCTGGCTCTCGGTCCGACGGTCTCGCCTCCGCTCCCGTCGAAAAGCACAGGCACAAGCAGCTCTGCAGCAGCTGGCGGCGGCGCCGATCCCGATCCGCTTTTACCTGCACGAGCACGAGCGACAGGACGGATCCGATTCCCATGGATCGGAACATTCGATGATAGCTCCGCGGGGTGCGACTGCTGCCGGGGATCGACTGGGGTCGTGCCTTTGGGCGGGCCGCGAGAAAAACATAATAATAATTGTGGGGACTGTCTCTGTACTGTAGAACAGCAGCTATGATGGTCGGGTCACTTGGCCCGGATTCACGGTACGTTTTAATGTGCAAGCATCTTCCACGTTGCTACTTAAATTTAGAAGCAGCAGTTAAAAAACAATAGTTTTTGAGTGAAATTCACTCTAGGTCCCTTAACTTGTCTTCAAGTGTCAAATAGATCCCCCAAAGTCTCAATTTGCTTTTTTCTGAGAAGTTTGTTTAGGTCTCGGCAGGCATCCAAACGGGTCTAAACCTGGCCCGTTAGCTGACGTGGCGCGAACGTAGCGTGGCCCGCTGACCGATGGGGTATTTGGCCCACACCTCATGTGCCCGCCTTCTCCCCATTCGGTCTCATATGCAAAAGTTATGAATCGTTTAGATCTCTACTCTCATAAAAAAAGATTAAATGAACCCGTTCTAACCATATGTGGTGAAGCCGGCCATCATCAAAATTGATGATATTAAACCATACCCCACCTTAATTCGAGATACGGGTTCATCATTTCTTTTTGCCGAATAGGTGGCTCCTCTATTATATCTCCCCATATTTTATATTGGGCTTCGAGATAATTGGAATTTTGCCATTATGAAATTTGGCAGCAAGCACTTGTAAGTATAGTTGATGGAAGCTTTGTGCCATCCCGAAGTCCAAAATTGATTAGCTGCTGCTTGCCATTATGTAAAATGAACTGAACACTCGTTGTGAATGCCCTTTGAGTATTTTTTTTGCCAAGGGTTTTAATTTTTTTCACGGCCTCTTCTTTCTTGCCCCTGCTTTTTATGTTGACAGGACCACCGCCTATGCCGACAAGTGGGCCTAGTCTTTATTTCAGATCTTTCATCCAGATCCTATACTTTAACGCATCAATTTGAGGAGGAAAACGGGCCAGATTGCAGGGGCTGGCTTGGCGTGCCTGCACCATCATTGGACAGGAGGAACGACCGGGAAAGGCAGGTTTTCGTAAGGTTTTCACAGGCTGCTGGTGCCGAATGTATACCTCATGCCTTTTTTCTGTGCCATCTCTTATCACTCATTGTACTGCTTTGAGACTTGAGCCTGGTCTCTTTTCCCCTAATAAAGCTGGGATAAGAGGCAGTAGATAGAGATGGCATCCCCTCGGAGATGGAGGCAAGTAGTAAATGCAATGTCAAGGGTCAGAGTAAAGAATGACATCCAAAGTCCAATGGCCACACCAGAGGACAGTTTAGCATTCCATACATCCATGCTCACAAATCACAAATCCACCTCGAGGACTGCTTTGCTTTTGTAACGGTTTAAAGGCGGTCATCATTCCTTTTTATTTGTCATCATCGACCAATAAACGTATCATGGTTCATCTTTATCCTGATAGAACAAAACAAATCGAAGAGCTTTTTATTCCACCAATTTAAGCTAATGAGAGTGATATATTTGCGAAAACTTCAAAGGAATCGAATCATTTGGTCAAGGCGCCAAAAATATCCGTTACGGAATACGTACTATGCTGGAAAAAGCCGTGCGGTTCCAAAATAATATTTCTTGGCAAGGTAAACCATGGCGCTTCAATAAAAACCAGGAGCCTGACTGATACGTGCACGTACGTACGTAAAAAGGAACTCCCTCCCCTACCTCGATCTACTCCTCAGCTGGCCTATAAAAGCGACAGGTAGGAAAAAGCCGAGGCAATGCCTCGTAACACCGCATGCAAATTTGGCATACGTGGTTCTCCATGAGTCGGCCGCACCGCACGCTTTCTCCGCACTTTAGTAGTAGGACGTAAAGCAAAGCTCTGTGGCTCTGCACATCCGTAGGTGTGTTCCAGCACCCTGTCGCTGCGACCTGCCTTGCCCTCGCGCACTCTGCCGCGTCCCGTCGCAAGGCCGCCCCTCAGCTCCACTCCTCCCCATCCCGTCCTGCGCCGCCGCCCAGCCCCGTCCGGCTGCCTCGCCCTGCTAGCGCTGCAGCAGATGAAGAGGGCGGGCGGCCCGCACCCCGATACGGACTCCACATCAAAAGCCGAGCACAGCCTTCGCCCTCCGGCACACTTGCTCCGCTCCCTGCTGCCCCTGGCTCGGTGGTGTATGCACAGAGGACACACCCGCCTGGTCAGCTGGCGACAAGCTCCCCCGCGTCGCCGGCGGGAAGGAGACGGAGGCCACCGTCAACAAGGACTATACTACCGGGTTCGTCGAGAGCGCCAGCGCCCACATCTTGTGGGGACTGTCTCTCCACCACGTATGTAATCCCATTCCCTTCCTCGGTCCCACCGCACTCTCTGATTTAGATCTAGATTGCCCTGATTTACTGTGATTCTTATACTGTGTTGCTCTGCGTGGATCGTGAGTTTGGAACTTGGAAGAGAAAGTAAGTAATCTGATACTATCATTTTGTTGCAGGAGCAGTGAGGTACAGATATTTTATCCAATCGAATCCTGGGTATTTTTGGCGAAAATTAAAGAATGTTGCCATGGCTCCACAGCTCATTGACAGTGTATTTTACTGTGGCTGAGTCCAAGATCCAGAAGACATTATTGGAGAAAAGGGAGCTGCATATGGAAAGAGAATTACTGCTGGACAGACAAGGCAGATATTAGAAGGGATATTAAGAGCAAAGTTATTAGGACCGGAGATTGAACCGTATGATATTAAAACCATACAACGTCCAACCGCTTACGACCATAGATTTTTATTTGATTTATTAAATATTATATGGGCCGCCCATATTATATCAACAGTCAGGCTAGCTATAGTATTTTATGAAATATGTCACAATACCAATCAAGTGGACATCTGAATGTGGAGGAATGTAGGAGCAGCAGCACTTGTAAATAGTTGATGGAAGCTTTGTAAGCATATATGTAGTCCTATAATTAATAATTGATAAATTGTAAACAACACAATTTAATGAATGTACAACTTCTAAGGTTCATACATATGCAGAGAATGCAGTGTTCTTAAATTCAAAACATACAAGAATTCCACAAGTTTTAGTGCTCCTACTAGTTGTTTATCTAATATATATATATATATAAATGGTCTCCCTCCTCTCACTTACCACTGGATCTGCCTTGAATAGTTCTCCATTCGTTCTCACGGGACTTGAATGGATTGGAAATAAAGTGCGATATTGGTGAAGAGCTCGGAGAAAATCAAAAAGAAATTATTTGACTAATTTGGAGTTGGTATGATACCTTTTAAAAATTTAAATTTGAAGAGCTTTTTTAAAAAAAATATTGAAAAAATATGTTAATAAGCGACGACCTCGTTCCGTAATGGCAAAATTTCAATTATCTCCTCGCGGCCGCGCCCAGCGCCCCGTTTCTCCGCAGTCCGCACGACCGCACGCCGTCTCTGGCTCTCTGCACCTCCGCTGCTCCGCACCCTGTCGCTGCACTGCCTTGCCCTCCGCACTCTGCCGCGTCCCGTCGCAAGGCCGCCCCTCAGCTCCACTCCTCCCCCATCCCGTCCTGCGCCGCCGCCCAGCCCCGTCCGGCTGCCTCGCCCCGCCCTGCTACGCTGCAGATGAAGAGGGCAGCGGCCCGCACCCCTACGGACTCCACATCCCCGCCGAGCACAGCCCTTCGCCCTCCGGCCTTTGCTCCGCTCCCTGCTGCCCCTGGCCATGGTGTATGCACAGAGGACACCCGCCTGGTCAAGGACAAGCTCTCCCGCGTCGCCGGCGGGGAAGGAGACAAGGCCACCGTCAACAAGGACTATACTACCGGGTTCGTCGAGAGCGCCAGCGCCCACATCTTCATCCACTGTCTCTCCACCACGTATGTAATCCCATTCCCTTCCTCAGTCCCACCGCACTCTCTGATTTAGATCTAGAATGCCCTGATTTACTGTGATTTACTGTGATTCTTATACTAATCTTGCTGTTGCGTGGATTGTGAGATTTGGAAGCTTGGAAGAGAAAGTAAGTAATCTGATACTATTATTTTGTTGCAGGAGCAGTAGAAGGGAGGTGTTAGATATTTTATCCAATGAAAAGAATCCTGGGTGCTTTTTTGGGGAAAAGTTAAAGAATGTTTGTCATGGATCCTAGCAATTGACAGTGTATTTTACTGTGGCTGATAAAGTCCAAGATCCAGAAGACATTATTGTGAGAAAATGCTGCTGTTTATGGAAAGATAATTACTGATTGGACTGACAAGGCAGATATTAGATTAGGGATATTAAGAGTCTGCACTCACCAATTAAGAGTTTGAAGGATCGTCGAGATGCATATAACAGGGATAGGAATAGCCTCATCGATTCCATTTGAAAAGTACAAGGTATACAAAAAACTGTGGTATTTCTATTTTTGAGGGATTAGATTATCTGTTGGTTAAAGATAGCAAATTGAGCACCCCAGTTTGGCTGTTGAGGGAGATGATCGTGCCTTGACCACCGATAGGTCCAGATACAGGAACCCTTGTTAATTTAGGTGGTCGTTTTTCTGTTACAAAAGTGAGGCTTTTCAAGTTCTCCTAGAAAAAAAGGTGAGCAGTCATCAGAACAGAGAAGAATATACCTTTTGGTGCAAGACTAGAGGGAGCAACACACAAAGATGGAGATTATGAGCAACTCCTGTCTATGAGATAGCCCATGATTCTTTTGTCGCGGACGATGATCTTCATCATTTTATAGTAAAGGCTTAGAGGCGCCAGTGATGCTGCGGAGAGCGCGGGGGCGCCGGCACATAGGCACATAGGCGCCACGACCAGCACATAGGCGGAGCGCCGGACACATTGGCCTTGCTAGCCAGGTATGTCCGGATCAAAGAAGTATGAAATTGCTTTGTTTTCCAACAGTGAATACGGATCAATGTTTGTGATGGGATTGTGATGTTTGTTAGGTGATGTGTGTGGTTTGCTGGGTCTGCAAATTGGAGCTGTGATCAAGGAAAGCATTTGCATGTGCTGCCATGCTGGTGTTTAGTAGATTAATAATGTTTGATTTGTCATTAAAAGTGGCTAATGATTATATTATAACCAATAGGACTTCTCTCAAACATCCATGTATACATCATTTGTTTTCTGAATTTTAGTCAATGGAGAGTATTAATCATTTCATAGATGAATTAAATCATTGATTAGTTCCTGCTTCCTGGATTACTATGTGGATTGAGGGGAACGAACAACTGAGGAATTTTAGTCAATGCTTCTTTTATTGTGTTTGAGATTTTAGGGATTAAAGTCAAACATAGAAATTGAGTATTTTTAAAACAAAGACTTAGATATGCATGCCGGCTACAAATGAACCGTTGTAAAAAAAATGCTGATCTTATTGTTGGTTCCACCATTTTATGTACATGCATGTTAAACTGAGTTTGATGGTCTCCTTTTCTCTTCTAGATCCCTCTAATATGTGATTGGAAGCTTCAGCAAATATAACATGTTGATGGGACTATGAGAGTTCAAAATGCAGCACCAGTCATACTGAATCATGTTCGCACTCCAAAGATCACGAGGGTTCTGTTATGATTACTGGACCTGATGACATACCAGCACATATTAACCCACCAATGTTTGGCTGTGCCTGACGTATGTGTTTCCTCACTTATTTCCTCCCTCCATTATGTTTATGTCATTCTTCTACCACATAGAAGTTTTAATAGGTTGCATCTTTGCACTCTGCAGGAGTCCTCTAACCGACGGACATCTCAATATGGGAGGTAAGGGAAACACACACCCCTTCTCACAATTGCTTAGGTATTCAATTTTACTTTCTGCAGTGCCGGAATTTGTATTTGGTATATCATAATTTGGTAACGCCTGGCAAACAGATGTAACCTTAGGAAATAGGTCAAATACATTTTGGACCTGAATGTAAATTAAGACTGTTTCAAGTGTACCATGTAATAGATATGAATGGATCCTAGAAATTCCAATAAATTGACAGCTACAGTTATCCGTGTGATTTTTGGCTTAGGTGATCATTAGTATTCTCATCATTGCATTGGGACAATGCAAGGTGCCGTTTTAACTTATAAAAGTGCACTTTGACAACCAGAACTTTAGTAGTGTTATAGCACTGGGCTAGCTCATCGACCTGGTGCTTATTAGAAAGTTGTCTCTTGCAGTTTTCTTGCTCAGTTGCATTCAACTAGCACTCTTCCTTGATCTCCTAGCTTTCCAAGCATTTTAATCTTTTTTTTATGTGCTACAGACTCTTGCCGTTGTGTTAACAATTCAACCGTTGCTGTTTATATATGTTGTTGTTGGGTTGAGTGCGAGGAGACAACGTCAGCGAGGGACGAGTGTGTACCTCTTTTTTTTTATGGTTGAGTCCTTGAATCTTGAAGAATATTACCTGCTCATGGCAGTTCCATCCAACAATCTCTGAACCAAAACACCGTTGTATTTAGGTGATGTTTGGATCCAGTGACTAAAATTTAGGAGGTGTATCGGGAGAATGTTGTATGGGGTGTTCGGATACTAATAAAAAAACAAATTACATAATCCGTCAGTATTTCACGAGACGATTTTTTTAAGCCTAATTAATCCGTCATTAGCACATGTTTACTGTAGCACCACGTTGTCAAATCATGGACTAATTAGGCTTAAAAGATTCGTCTTGCAAATTAGTCGCAAACTATGCAATTAGTTTCGTAATTAGTCTATATTTAATACTCCATGCATGTGTCCAAATATTCGATGGGACAACGACTAAAATTTAGGAAGGGCAATCAAACACCACCTTATATGTTAATCATCAAGTCTAATTTTGTCTGGACCCATTATTATTTTTGTATATTTTTATTGCATTGAAAATTTTGTGGCACCGTAGCGATGCACGGGCATCTGCTAGTAACTATTAAGGGTTATGATACAATGGACAAGGGTGTAATGGTTATTTTAAGCTTCTCTCTCCTCTACTCCTGCGAAATATAATACTATTTTGATAGCTACAGTATCTAGAGCAAATTGTCATAGTTAAACAGTGTCAACTAGCATAGATAATATTGAATAATGTGTATAACAAATATCAACATTGAAAAACGTCCTAAAATAATTTACTAAAAAAATACGGACATCCTAGCGTCCCAGACGTCCGGCGCGAGCGCTGTGTTCAGACGCCGCTCCCCTTCCCAAACCACCGGCCCACCGTAGAAAATCGGATCGAATAGAATGGAATGGAATGGAATTACATCCACCACGCCCTGTCCTCCGTTCCCCACCGCACCCGTCCCCATTCCCCCACTGCACCCCTGTCCCAAAGAGCACGAAACACTTCAAGTGCAACATCGCAACTATATGAAAAAAACAATGTAGTACAACATCGAAATATAATTACTGCAACATCAAAAATATATGTAGTGCAATATAAAAAAATATGTACTGCAACATCAAAAAATATGTACTGCAACAACATAAATTATGTACTACAACATCTCAAACAATAGTAGTGCAACATCACAAAATCAACCAAGAAACATGGAAAATGGAAACATGCGAAGAACATCTGTTGCAACACTCAAAAATCAAATTGCAACATTCGAAAATCATCTATTACAATATAAAAAAAACCATTGCAACACGGAGAAACAACAAGGGCGTACAAACTGCAAGGGATGGGTTCGAGGTGCAAGCTGCTCCAGCCCTGGCCCATCACCTTTGAGCTCGCCGGAGGGAAGAAGGGAATAGAACCCCAGTGCTCGCCGGAACCCTAGCCACCAGCACCTCCCTCAGATCCAGAGGAGGAGGAGGAGGAGGAGGGCGAGAAGGACCGACCTACCCCGTCGGAGCCGCCGCCGTCGTCCTCATCTCTGGTGTGGGGAGTGGGAGCCGGGTCGTTGGGGAGTACATGGTCGCATGAATGTCGCGGAGGGGGGAGGGACGGAGGGAGGGAGGGAGCACGGACAAACGGGGCGGCAGCGAGCTCGCGCACGGGCACAACTCAGAGAGCGGGCGAGCGGAGCGGGAGCGTGAGTGCGTGTGGGGGAGGGGGAGAGCGAGTGTGTGGGGAAGTGGGGATTGGTGCGTTACGGCCGCCCGGACCCCAGTTCATATCAATATCGAAAAAATATAAAAATCTTAGATATCATATGCTTAACATACGTGTCGTGAATATACGCGACGGATACCAACAACGGCCGACGGCTGTGTCACACACTCCCACCTACTATTCTTTACTAGTATAGTGTCCGTGCTAACGCTACGGAAGACAATACTTACAATTAATTTGATGATAAAAGCTATATAAAGAGAAAATTACGCTTCCATTAATAGTGTGTGCTCTTGAGCTTGGTACATTTAATAAGGTTATACCAGAGGAAAAAAAGGAACTATAGTTGCAAATGCAAATAATGTGTTACGGAGAACAATCCTAGGCAACAAAAATTAAATTTTCTTACTTCTAAAATGGTATTGACATACTGGCAAATGACTTTTATTGTGCTTTCTCAATAGCAGGTAGTAACAAAAAAAATGAAGAAAGATCAAATTATTACAAACATCGGTGGCTAGCTGCCTTAGGAACCTTTCCTCCAATGAAATTGCTAGAAGTTTACTTAGGGGGTGTTTAGTTCCGCGGACTAAATTTTAGTCCATGTCACATCGGACGTTCGGATGCTATTTAGGAGAACTAAATATGAGTTAATTATAAAACTAATTACATAGATGGAGACTAATTTACGA